GGTGGGGATACCCATCCTAAGAAACTTTAAAAAATAACCTCGAGTTTGAGAAATAATTACTTCTCATCAGCAATGCTGAAACTTATTTATTTATTTATTTATCTAGTCTATACTGAACAAAGAGTATTTAGCTTCGATGCCGCCTACATGTGAAGGACGAAAGGGCCAGTTAGTGTGAATAGAAGGTGAGATATTGATAACGCTCAGAATGATGTGATTGAGTGGTAATTGTTTGTGATAGTGAGTGGGTGAATCGCAAACATCTCGATGAAATCACGGGCGATCAAGTGCGAATGGCCACTTAAGAAGTACCTAGCAACAAAGGGTCATACCCATTAATCAGGAGTCCCAGCTTTTTATTGATTTTTTAGGCGCTATGAAGTTTGTGGAAATATCAGGTCGGGTCCATAATTTTTGAGGCACATTGGGTGTTTTTCCATTTATTTCTTATTTTATTTCTCTTATTCACTTCTCCAACATACATAGTATACATCACCATTATTATCAACATATCGCCAATGCAATTTCAGATTAAAAATTCACACCCGGCATCCTCTTGTTACCGTAATTTTCGCCCAACCTCCATAATTATTCAGTAACAGCACGACGAATTTAGGACATCACACAAGACTTTATATTCAAGCTGAAATAACATCTGCAAGATCCTGCGCGGCCTTCAAAAGTTCATTTCGGGAGTGGCGACGGTATCGTGCCTCTTTACCAAATCTGTCACTATGGAGGTATTAATGACCTCTGGCTGGCTACCCATGTGTGAACTGATTAACGAGCTCGGTCCATGGACCTATGGTCATGCCAGACCGTATTAAAAATCACCGTAAGGCCTTCCGTGCATCAGTAGTTGTCCCACGTGATTTCGATCCACTGTAGGTGGCAAATAAACACGAACATTGAATAGCAATGGCGGATCAGCATTCTGTAGCTCCTTAATCATCGAACCTTCGTTATAGTTGGAGGAGTATTGCGAACAAGCTACCATGTGTCACTCACTGTAGAAGAACCGCCAGTCATCACGGACAAGATGAAAAGTGACGTTGAGAGCGTGACCATCTCCAACATTCAGGCCATACTTCGAAGTTCCCTATACATCATATATTTATTTAGATATTTATTTGGGCTCAAAAACACGCCATAAAAAGAAGTAAAAAAATCACCGTAAGACATATTCAGACAGATCTCTCCCAAAAATGAGGCATGACACGAAAACAAGAGTGTTGTCACAGGAAAAAATGACAGAAAGAGAGCAAGGAAAGAAAGATTCGACGGCAGCAAGGAGAAAAGCTTTCAATTGCACTCATTGTCAGTGCGGTGGCATCGCAAATTTCTTGCTAGTGGTGTCTGCTAAAAAGCATCAACCACCTCTATGCTTCCCGATAAAAGCCGATTGCGTGGCGCACTCCAGAGAGCTCACCAATCTCCTGAACTTCACACAACGTCCTTTAACCTTATGAACCAGCCCAAATATAGCCACCCCTTTTCTGATTGCACTCCATTCTTAGACAACTTTCTTATAGAAACTTAGCCCTTTGTTTTCCGAGTCCCATCTCCTACAACAAAATAGGATTATTTCCATAATAAATTAGCATGCGCTATCACACAGATAGGGGCCATCTTCACGACTTAACCTATGGAGGGACGCAACTTTGGGAAATAAAATTGCACATGCACTCTGTAGGAGTCCGCTCTACCTATGGCCCAGTACTCGCTTCGAACAAATGAGAATCTTCGACGCAGCCTTTTAAGCATTGCCGCACAATGCCCTATATGGGATAGCTCATCATCTTATTCGTGTCTAGGAAATAATATATAATAATAAATATATAAAATAATTATAATAAAAATCAAAGAATAATAGTCTAATACATCTTGTGAAAAATCATAACAAAAAACTTCTCCATGAGAAACATTCCCGTCCCCCAGGAAGTACTCGCTTTGAATCTGAACAATGCCCTCTGTACCAAAAAGGTAAAGATCAATCTATTGAAGATAAAAATATAAAATCATCTCGAGAACAAATAAATCATCTCCTGACTTCATTTCTTACCTAATGGATATGGTACGATCGCTAGGGTAAATAAAACTGAGAGCTGTGTACGGGGCATGGAGCACACGATTGCAGCGCATAAGAAGAACCCTTCAGGGCAAGATGTTGGTTTTTTGGATGTATTCTCATATTAGTGTCGTTTATTGTGTTCATTTGTTTCCTAAACGGTCAAGCGGAAGTCTAGATTTTAAAAAAATGAGACGTAACCAATATAATTTAGACAACCACAAATACTGCAACCGAAAACCACGCCAACGCAAGCTTTGGGCCTTTTCCAATGATAAAGCTAAATAAATTCTTTCGGCAAAATCGAGCACTATTAATTGATCCGACAGATATAAGTCAATAGGCCAAGTTTATCGTAAAGCTCGAAGACCAGAAATAAGCAAAAGCAAAAGTTGCGTTATGAACGAATGCCGAAGTCGGAAGTTGGAACCCCATTCCGTATGCTTACGTCCGCTTAAAAGGATTAGACGGTACTCAATCGCTACGTCAAATAGAAGGCGTTCGACGAAATTGCCTTTCAATTAGTCGGTGCTAACAGCTTGCGCAACGGGCCCGAAACGAAGGCTAATAATGAACGTTTGAAAGTCCTAAACAGGAAGGAAGGCCCCCCTTCTATGGGTGGTTTCAATGAGATCGCCCCGCAGCTGCCCCCGAATCGAAGAGGAGCGGCAACAGCCGGAAGCAACAAATATGTATGAATTGCAAAAATACTTCATCAATTGTGGGCCCCGCTTTTTTATTTTTTTTGCTTTTCAGTTAGATAGGTGAAACTGGATATCCATAATAGAAACGTTTTATCAATGTCAGCAAATAATAATAATCAATCTTTTATTTATACCATATCGATTGCATCTTACTCGACTAGGCCAAAAATAATCCAAGTAATTCTCTGAAGAAGCCCCATAAGCGTCAATTTCTGAGCGGATCGGTCCGCCAGAATTTTATCGTACATCCTTCCAGGAGCCGATTCAGTGATCAGCATGCTTACCATTCTTTGTTCGAAGTGGCCTCAGCCTCAGAAAGCCAGAAGGCAAGAGTCAGGAAACATCTATAAACCCCGAAATGCCGTCTTCCACTTGATTTGTCAAGCGCTCCTTCAAAAAAGGAGGGGCTGATGCTGAGATATCACTGATTATAACACTAGTAGTTTTAAAAGGATTCGTCTTCAACTCGCTATGGGGTCGAAAAATGGCAACAGGAGATTTATGATTCTGTGCAATGAACTCGAATAAAAATATAGACCCAACTACAGGCTTGCTCCAAATTCGATGTACAAGAGCACAATTTTACTAATGCATCCAATCACTCCGAATGACACATTTCGCAAGCTTTCTATGGATTCCTACTTCCAACTGTATCCGATTAGTTTTGAAGGCACAGGTCGGGATTAGGCGATCAAAGGAACCCGCTCTGTCATACTATGACTGGGTCTGCAACCATAGAGGTGATGCCGCGCTCGTGACTCGAAACCGCGCGGCTATAACAACCCTGGCCTAGCATTTAGGACGACGTGAGCTATGACCGCCCACCGCCGGAAGTGGTGCGTGGCTGGCATAACCGTGAAATCAGCTGGGTTGATTGCCGTATCAAGCGACGGCACAGAACCAGCAATGGTGGCATGTCCCGGAACCAGCAATGGTGGCATGTCCGAGAACTCATTCGGGCATGTATTTCCTAAGCCAGCCTCCTTCGCTGCTGTGGAGGAAAGAGGTTTTATTTCGGTCTTGTCGACGGCTTCTTCCGTTTTTTCTTCACTGTCGTTCCATTTCGCATCTCTGCACTCACTTTCAAGCGCAAAATACCGCAACTCGATCCCGAACAGTGCCTTTAACTACACCTCAACGAGAACGAATGAATATGAGGAATAGCGCATACTTCGGCCCCGTCCATTGCGTGCTCAAGATATGTATACAGGGGGGGGGGGGGGGGCAATAAAAAAGACATTTTGTCTCCAGACTCAAATGGATTTAATCACACTTTGCTCAGCTCAAAGCGTGTGCTCCCAACTTAGAATTGAAGAGCGCATTTCATTTCATAAGAAAATCTTCATAGTGGCCATCTACGTGGACGGCATCAGAAAAATTTGCCCCGGAAACATGGTGCTCTGGTCGAGCTCAATGGGGTTCTCGACTGATCGTGTACCGTTACGAGGGCGGGTTCCGAGGGGGTTTGCATAGTTAGAGCTAATGTCCCTAGGAAACTATCCCACGTTGAATCGATCCAAGAAATTATGTAAGAGCTTCAGGCTGAAGCAGTTACTGTAGGCCTCCCTGAGCTCGACGACGGTGACAGATGACGTCATATTCTGAAGACGGTGAGGGCAGTGAAGGAGGGCCTGCGTGTACTTATAGAGGGACATTTAGGGAATATTTTGCTGAGGAACTTCCGTCAACGACGGCAATCTGCGAAGAAAAAAGGCCGAAGTGCGACCTGGGCAAAATGTTTTTTTTTCTGGCCCTCCCTGTATATTCTAACCGAAAAACAAAGACCGCTGACTGACGTGACTAAATCGTTCATTTAAGAATGTCGGTAGCTTTGAGACGTGCGAGCAGTATCGCAACCAAATCACTGTGAACCCATAAAAACCCCTGCACGAGTACATGTCCGCTTAGGGACACTGTTTCATAAGTTAGAGCCCTTTCACTGCTCTTATTATCTATTTGAGACCGAGTACAATCGCACATACAACACGACATTTGCTTCATAGCAGAAACTTTAATGAACGACACATTTTATCCAAAAGCATTTGCAAAAGACGAGCACATTTGACATCGGTATTACACATCATTAGCAAGACAAGAGATACCTTGTGAATGATAACAATTTTAATTACATGCATTCAAAGTCGAATAAAAACCAAATCAGGCCGAAGGTATGAACACCAGAAGAGGCACGCAGGATAAGAAAAGTGAGAGAACATTGTCCACAATAGTTAGTGACCATATTTCTGGAACTCCCATTCTCTGTTGTCCAAAGGACATACCTGTAAGTTTTTATATACGGAGGCTAAAAGACAACTATCAAATGAATTACCCCGCAGAACAACGCTTTACTAACCTGACGAGTTTTCAGCCAACGAGAAATGCAATGGAAATGGAACGCGTGATTACAGTTTCCCCAAGCCACCGTACATTCTTCCTTTTGACCCGTACTTTGATTCCCCTAAAACGATAAGTCGGTGAAAAAGCTTCAACGCATAATCAAGATCAGCACAGCTCTGGAAATATCTTGCCAAAAATAAAAGTATGAGAGTATTGTGTTATTTGCGCGATTCTAGCGATTTTTAGTATATGATGTCCCAGCGTAATGGTGAACAATCTAGAACAGCCCGTTAGTGTTCTACATTTTGATATGCCACTGAAGGTCCCTCAGTAGCAAACTTAGTGTCTAATGCCCCCAAAAAAAACCTGCACACTTATCTTCGAGACATTAAGCACTAACCAGCTCACCGACACTTGTAGACCCCTCGCTGAAAACGACACTAAGAATCTCTCGAATAGCTAGCGATTCACGCAACACTCGCAAAATGCGGCCTGTTTCAGAGCGCTTCACAGAAGCAATAGTTCAACAAAGTGGATGACTTAAGTAAGCCAAAAAAAACCTGAGAAAAGAGGTCAACGTTGGGGGGATGCTCATTGTAGCAGCAAAAGAGAAAGGAGAAAAAGCAAAACTTGCGAACAAATTCTACCTAAGAAGCTATTAGCAATGCAGCGTATTGAAGACACTTCACTAAGCACTAAAGCCTTTTTTGAGCAGCCATCTTGAAAAGGTAAACATGATTACGACAAAATAATTGGAAAATAAGCCGGGTCGAGAGTGGAGGCCCAAGGAAAGACAAAGTTGAAAAAAGAATTGAAAAAAGAAAGTTCGTTTGAGAACAAATTCGCTGCAGTTGCTCGATCTTTTCCAAACACTTGTAAGCTTAAGATTTGTGACTAGAAAACAAACAGAAAGGTTAGCATACCTGATTGGCCTGACATTCAATACATAAATCCATGATATGGTTGCGGCAGATTGCACAGTTATCTACTTGAATATCCCATGCCCAAAGCGCCACTGCACTCCATTTTTTCACCTATAAAAGATTAGAGGAATTTCATAACTCTAAGTTTGGCTTGGTTACAGAATATGCTCCATATTTCACATGCCAACAGCGACGAAGAGATGCTATCAGAACCCTTAAGCCGGAACTACCACATGGCGACCTTATTTGAAGAAAAAAGCATAAAAGAAGACGAAGAGCAAAAAAATTGAAAAGGAACCGGAAATCAATTTTCATTGCCCCCATCAAGCCTGAGAAAGTACTACCCGGTTCAATTATGCCACATCACTTCATAGTTTATATAAGCTCTCATGCGCTTCCTCTCTGATTAAATTTAGGTTGAGACTTCACTGATCTCTTAGGCGTACTTTATTAAGCCTGCGCACAAGGGCGCACAAGTCACCAACCGCACGCACCTCTCTTTCCCATCTGGATGTTTTTCATGATCCTCCCCTTTCTTCAAATTCTCTTTCCACAATTTTTGTAGGAAAGGCTTCAACACTTTTCTCCTGTTCGTGCATACAGGTACTTGCGTATTCTAACAGAGTTACCAAACCACCAAATTCGTGCAATAGTTGAGGGGGAACAAGTGGATCGGGTCGTCCTCAAATTCAGTACTCGCAACTACTACAACCCCCAAATGTTAAAATTACAGGGATTATTGGGTACCCTGTTAGCGCCAGCTCAAAATTCACTGTAAGCTGACAAATGTTATCATGAAGCCACATGCATCTTAAGCACCAGCTTGAAACAACATAGCACAATATTGGCACAATGTGGCCCCTTCCAAAAGAATGCAAGTCATGCCCCTAGAGCACTGTAATATCCTCAAAAGCAAATAAGGGTCCTATGACCTGCTGGGTTACATTGATGGGGCATCTGAGGTCTTAGCAGTCAGATAGTTACCCAAATTCCCTTACACTCCATCAGTGCAACACTTGACAACTGGACTTACTTCAAATCTCTTCTTATCTTTAGCTGAAACTGGTGCGTTCTCTCCTTCTTCCTACTTCCATCTTTAAGTTGTCTTCGGCCATACCTAATTAAAAACTCGAGAACTTAAGGAAAAAAGAAAACTAAAGTTGATATTAATCGCGTAAACGTTGCAAAAATGAAAAAGAGCCGGATTCTAAGTTTATATAAAACACTAACATCAAAACAATAAACGATATGTTATGAGAATTTTACCGTAATGAAGACATAATAACACAACCGCGACTAGACCGAAGAGATGGGCAACGCATGGAACACAATGATAGTAATCACATGTACGAATCAAATGCAACAACTACATTCTCAGTGAAAAGTTGGCAGCGATACGTCTACAGATACGTCTTAGATTACCGCAACTGAGCACTTTACTAAACAACGCTAATGTTCGAAACCTGCCAAAGAGGTGAGATGCAGTCCTGTTCTCAACAGAAACAACAGCTTGATGTCTCCCAAAAAAATTTGGTTCGTAATAGGATTAAGTAGAGGAAAGAGTCTTAAAAGAATGCGAACCAACGTAAGCAACAAAAAAATGAAAACAAAAAAATTAACATTGTATGTACATTCTGAAGACATCAGCTTTGTTCCAACTTCTCCTGCGTTTACAAAAGTCACGTCCGATTGCAGAATGAGTTAGAGCAATTGCTAGCCAAGGTACTCGCATACGATAAAACTTAGGAATGCTCATGATGTCTTAGCATCTGTTGTTGTCTCTGCTGTTGCTGCTGCTGTTGTTGTTGCTGTTGTTGTTGTTGCTGCTGCTGGGCAACCATACATGCCAATGCAGCTTGCATGACGTTCCCATCGCCATACGAATTGTCGACCTCATCCAATCCATCACCGGTCTCTTCGTGGTCTCCCTATAACAATCAACGCAGTTCAAATCACGGTCACGGTCAAATTAGCAACAACGCATAATACATAGGGATAAGGGCATATACAGGTATACACACAATATACAGAAAGACTGATGAAATAGTAATATCTTGATTCCCCCTTGGCCCGCGCCAGACTGTTAGTGAAACTATCACTTTTCTCGCAGAAAAATCCAGAGCAACAACAAAAGATTAGGGACGCAGCGCTTTTCCCAACAGTCAAATCAAGTGACTTGTATACGTCATGCGACTAGGAAACAACTGTTTGTCAAGGGTTAACATCTCTGCATCTCATTAACCCGAAAGTAATGTGAATAAAGAGTATGAATAATAACCCCAGCTGAAGCCGTGAAAGGGAATGCTATACTAGTAGCAATGAAAATTGGATTTGGTTGAATATTCCCTCCCTCTCAATAATTAATAGCGACCTTTGACGGTTGAGAGTCGCTTCTTTATGGTCAGGTATAGCCATGTTTTCAAGCACTGAACTAATATTTTAGGTTAAGCTGGAAAGCTGAGAAAATCAAGGATTCCGTAATCCTATCCTAAGCTAAAAGCCAGATCCCCAGGAGTATTGAACTTGCAATCATGCAAACGCTACACGATTGAAAGGGTATTTTAGTTAAAGATGCAGATTAATACGTTATGACAATATTTGATATACGCGAGGAGCCTGCACCCACTTATGGATCTTTGAAATAGAGCCAGGAATGGGAACTGCTTCAAGACCTGATTGGATTCCAAGCACGAAAAGCGAAGAAAAACCACCGCACCTCATCGTGATCCATATCTGGCTCTTCCTTTGGAGCGTTTAGTGTGTTTCCTGCTCCTGACACAATAAACGATTGCAGAATTTGGCTCGCTGACTCAGAATGCATGCTACTGTAGTCAGTTTCGTTCGTAGATACCCCTGGGCGAGGAGGTGAACAACCTGAATCGGCTAATTAGGTCTCGCTGCATATTACATAATGCATTGATCGTACCTGCTGTAAGTGGACGAGCCTTGTTGTTTGGTTTGGGTGGAAAACATCGAGCAGTGAACATACGCAGCTGATAACCAAGGCGTTTCCGATTGTCAACAATCATGCTTTCATCACCATTATGAATTGCCTGCAGTTACAACCGCGTGAATAACCGAATAATTGAGGATTCAACATTTTACGTTCAACGCAATGAAATCACCTTGACATGTTTCAAGACATCGGACTTAGCTATAGTTTGCCACGTCTTCTGACAAACAGCACATTGGTAAAGGTTCAGCTTTATATGCCTGAAGAAGCAAAATGTATCTGCTCAATTTTTCTGAAGTTGAGATGGAGGTTTATCTTAATTCGCGGTTATACACTTGGCGATTGCCCTTGCAGTTCGAGCGCGTGACCGTGAAACGCGCATGATCGATAATGTTGTCTACTCCGAAATGCAATAAGCAGCCTTAAAGTTGAACCACGGCCCTTAGCTAGGCGACGCACCAGGGCTTTACCCCCTTGTTTTGTTACGCTCAATGCAGCAGGATGCGGCTTTGGCTTCACAAAGCTATAAAAAGTAACGGCGTAAATCAGACGAACAACATGAGTACGGCCGTCATGAGTTCAAATTCACCCCGAAAACATAGGACTTCGGTTGCCTCTTCTGAGTGCGCGAACAGTGCTGAAAAAGGCTACCGTAGACGGACAAGCCACGCACTTGGGAAAACTAGGTAAAGACATAGTTAGGTAACACCGAGTGCCACAAAACTAAACAAATGCTGACGCCTTTTTGCGCAGGTTCGTATAGCATACATTATACGAATAGAATAACAAAAGTACCAACTTTGTTTCGCGTGATAGACGAGACTAGAACGTTGATTCGACACTTTCAAAGCCGCAAATCTGACAAGTGACAGCATCTTTCGGCTGGAAGTAAACTTCATTCATTATTTTGTTGAAAGCATGGCCAAGTGTTTCCCTCTACATTCAGAGCAACTTACAACATAACTGACTTTCCTAATCAGCTCTTCTCCCTCTCCTATCAAGGCGGCAAAGTCCATTCCTGAGCTCATAGCATCGCTAGCAAAATCCATTGGAGACAGTTCAGCTAACGCAGCTGAAGGGCCACAATTGGACGGGAAGCTGCTTCCGTAAATTTGGCATGTGTATGACCATGTGAGTATGTGTAACTGTGAGTTGGAATCCACGGAACCTGAAGTGAGAATCATGGATATAGATAACAATACACTAACGTAAGATTAGCATATTTTCAACATCCATACGAAGATACATTTCACTATGATTCGCGCCGCAAATAATTTTATTTTGAACATCCAGACGACAAACGTAACTTCTATTAGCACCGTCTAGTCCCATGACCATTCCTGAATGCACTACCGATTCGACCCTCCCCTTACCATGCTCATTGTTGAAAAACAAAGCATTTACTCAAGAATAGTTTAAAACCAAAATAGTTCTAAAAGAAAAATGTGAAGAAACACCTTAACTCGAGCACAAACATCGGTAATGTTCAGCATTTGGCACCCAAACAAGGAATTCAGTCACTTATGTGGGCTTAACTCCATTACTTTCAGGATTCTTTCGACAATCTAATTTCATGATTTCCTGAATATGTTCCCTTTGAACTTGTATTACTCCACTGACCTAGAAAAACTTATGGTGTAAAAGTTGAACAGATAGCCCATACAGGGAAAAGAAGCTAACTAAATGTGGCTAAAGTTGTGGCTGAGCTGAGAGTAATGGCTCAATTCACAGAGAATCAACGCACACCTGTATAACTCATCAAGGAATGCGGTGGGTTTCCTCCGCTGTTTGCTATATGGCGTGGAAGTTGAGGTATTGCTGAAGTGGGAGTGGTGGCGATGCCTGTAGGTGACGTAGATGGAGGCACAACGCCTCCAGAACTGGCTGATGATCCAGATCCTGGTTGCGCTGCTCCGGTGGCATGATCCGACGAAGATCCTGACGGCTCAACAGACGATGGGAAGCTGTCTGGATCCTCATACTGAAAAATACCCTACGAATGCTAGGTGAAACAAACAAGTACAGAAATACCCATGAAAGTGAATGTACTCTTGAATGAGCGATCTCTCGAACATTTCAAAGCGCGATTCGGAGCAAAAGACAGGAAGGACATGGCTCATTCGCACCCAAGTTGCTAAACACATCACAAAGGCGATTAATCGCGCATCAATTTCTGCTCTGCCATCCTTTTTTAATTGAACGAGAAATCGAGCATGAAAAAGATTCCGTGAAGAAAAAAAGATTAATTCTCTGCCAGAGTTAATTAGTGAATGCAAATGGAAGCAGTTTTGGAGCAAAAAAAAGGTCTGCGAACAGAACAAAGGAATTGCTGGCACCTACTTTTTCAACTGATCCGTGAAATGAATTGCTGTGCCCATTTGAAGTTCCCAGTCCTAGGTTATCTTCGCAACCACTGCGCTGACGCTGAAGACATGCTCGCATCTGAAGCGTAGGCAATATAAGATATGAACTCAAGGTAAAATATCATGCGCACAAAACACACTTGAGTCATAAAAAATATACTTGAAAAAAACGACGAAAATTATGAAAACAGCAACGAATACGCGCTGGTAAACCGAAGTAATGAACGCAGCTTCGAGGGTTGGTTTCAAATCGTCATACAAAAAAATCCTTCTTCGCCCAGCATTCAAGCTCACCTTTAATTTTAGCTCCAAACCTTGCGTGTCACAAGCTTCAAACCGTGAAACGGTACCGAACCTAAAGAAGATCTTACTCAAAAAAGCATAAACACAAATCAATGAACGTCAATGAACAAATACATACAAAGAATTCCTTCAGACCGTGATCGTTTTTGCAATGCGAAATTAGCGCATATTCTGTAGGAAACTTCGCAAATCGACATCGTTCACATCTGTAAACAATAACATTTGGAACCCTTTCAAAACTCTCTGGCAATCCAAGAACACTGGTTCTCAGTAATTGTTGAAACTAGATACCGCCATAATGCACAGATATCTCACCAGTTTCCCTAATTCTAACTGAACAATTCTGAAGAACAAAAAATAGTATTTTTTTAGGCCATTAACCATGGCCGCATTCTTAGTTGTTTAGGGCTGAATCCTTCCAAAATAGCGAACAAGGCATCGCAGGGCAATAGGTAATAGAGCCAATTTCTTGCCCGGATCGTCTGATTCACTTTTCTTTGGAATGTGAGAGAGAAAAGCTTCAGCAAGAAGCCGACTATGTCCCACAACAAATCCATGCCCTACCTGCTAATTAATCTCAGATGACAAAAATTCTTATTCACGAACCTAACAATTAGCAATCCTAAATTTCATGTTCGAGTTTGCTAACTCTGGCGGCATGACTTAGCTTCGGCAAGATATACGTAAAAGTGCTTGCTGCGAATCCGTTGCAAAGGTGTGTCCACGTCTGCTCAGAGATGCTATTAAGAATTTACTATAGGTATGATTTTTCGAGAACAAATATCGATATATAGCTCAATTCAAACATCTGCTGAAACCTAGTATCAAAACCTGGTGAGATGTTCATAAAGAAGTAAAGAGATTCTAAGCAATTAAAAGAACTCACTCATATGGGCAGTAATTCAAATGGTCGCTTGCAATATGAATTTCCAACTCCTCCGGTGTCGGAAACCTCGCAGAATCCCCACTGCAATCTAGACAAGGATATGACGCGGTTGATATGTGGTTTTGGTTCATCTGGAAAATATGTGGATTGAAATACATGAATGATCGTCAGGGAGAAGAAGTTTAAGCAATATTACGCCGTAATTCTTCCTCTTCCCCAAGGGTATTGTTGCAGCATAATTCACAACGATTACGAATACTGCCGATTATTCCCTCAGGTGGTTGGAAATCCCGAAGGGTTAGCCCGACAAACCAACCTAAATCTAAGTGACCAGTTACATGATTATTGGAAACAAATATCCCCATCACTTATACAAAAGTTTGCGGACTGCCAATTAAGCAAAAAAAAAAAACTAAGGATTCGATCTGGAGTTTGAGACTGGAGTTCCTATCCAAACATCACTCCCTCTGCATGCGTGACCAAATTGGTGTCCATTACAAAAAAAGAGAAGGGGCATGTGGTGCAACAGCTCGCGCCGCCTATAGCAATTTCAATTTCTGCAGGAGCAAGAAATCCCCTGGGTGCGTAAACTATCCAGTCCCTTACTATGTCCATATTCCTTCTTAACGACTGCAGCAATTCGTATGATTGTAGGCGGCAGGAATGTTCCACCATATATGGAAACCACCCTTTATTGTAATAGACTACCAAATTGCTTCGAGAAAAACGTCTTCGCAGCCATTGAACAAATCAGAGCCGTTCAATACTGTCCACTACGAATTACTCGTAATCACGAAAGCAAATAATTCCGTTTCTAACTGCATGTCCTGGGCTGATATACAATACCTGCTGTACTTGCAGAACCACACAAGGAAGCCTACTCATACATAAGTGAACAAGCCGTTTTTAGCTAAGAACTTTAGATGAACTTTTTCCATTCCACAGTCGTGTTATGTCCAGCACTGATAAGAACCATAAACATTCAGAAAATGGAATTGTCATGTGATGGTGTAAAAAAGGAGATTTTATATGCAAAAACAAGCCGACGTAATTAGGGCTACACATAACCATGGAAACCACTACATGTATATGCAGGAACTTCCACTAACTGCAACTTCTTTGCTACACGCTCACATTCGAAACAAAAGCTAAAGCTGCAAGTCGTGCGAGGTAAGTAAGGCAGCGTGGCAAGAGAAGACTGTTCGAGAACGGTTGCTAACTACTCATTTATTGCTGTTTTGTTTGATTTAATAATAAACTCATGAGAACTAAAGAGGACGGATTCTGCTCACTTAACAATTGGAAAGTGACCCCATTACAGAGAGATGGTCAATTTTTCTCAATTCTAATGTATACTCGCTGGGAATTACGGTTTAATTTTCAGCATATAAACATTTCAGATACTTTATACGAAATCATAGCAACATTAATATGGAAAACCACTAAAACCGTAAGCAACACGGAAGCACCGTAGGCGAAGGCCATAATAGGTGGTTCCCAAAAAAGTTAACTTCTCTAATGCACTGAGTGCAGAGAAGGTCGGACACTTGTTAAAATTAAAAATATGCAGTCGTGAAGCATTACGAGAGTATTGTAGCCTTTTTCAATAGACTTTGGATCATTACAACATTTTTAAATTGCTAACATGTTAAATAGTTGGGTGGGGGAGTGTTCTGTCCTAACACCAATCCGGAAGCAGCTCTCCCTCATTTGAAAAATAGGGACTGAAACCGGCTTAAATCAAGTCGCCCCAACCGAAATACTTGTAAGTACCGATAAATAAGACGCTCACAGATATTGTTTGGACACCGGAGGACACAATTTTTGAGTCTATCACTACTAACCAAAAGGTATGCTATTCTTTAGGAGCAGTTTCCTTACCAACTGGAACTCCTAACTCTTAATTTCACTAGTTATTATTGCCTTCCTAAAAAGCCAACCAATTGGTATCGACTGCAGATCTTTGATTCGACAAACTTTCGCTGCCTTTAATCGTGAAAATCTCAACAATCCCGGAAATGAAGCAGAAAACGGTCTATCCCCCAAAGCTACTATTCATATTTGGAATAAAACGAAGCAAAAATATTCGAAATCGACGATTAGTCCAAAATGGTCTAGGAGAGCAGCAAAAGACATAAAGGCGTACAACTGCACGCGATCTTGTTGATGAAAATAATTAATCAAAAAAAAACTATCGACCATTTGTAATATCAAAAAACGGACCCAACAAAGGATGACAGAAATGCACAATAATGTAATAAAAGCTGGCTTGAAGAATATCATTGGGACCACCTGGGCAATAGTTAACCCCAAAAAATGATGGATCCTTGATGACAACAGAAAACGCAGAAAATCACTTAGAAATATTGCCTATTCCAACCAAAAATGGCGAAATTTCACAAACCCCGTTGCCCGCTTTATGATCGAAAAACGTACGCACGACGAGGACACGAAATAAAAACACAAAAAGTTGAAAATGATGATAATAACGAACCTCTCATGTGCGTGAAGTGAAGTGTTTGTACGGAACAGAGAAGTCGCGAGACGTGAATCGATTCAACCGCTCACTTCCTCTCCCTCTCTCTTTCTTTCCTATTCTCTTCCTTCTAACCGCACTCTTATCGGCCGTGTAGACGAGAGACCGCGTAGAGCGAGGAGGAGATGAACGACAGGGTCCAGCCCCCAGTCGACGAGCGAACACACGATGGAACGGGAGGAATGAAGTCGACGACCGAGAGAGCATGCCCGATCACGAGGCATGGAAGAGAGACGGAGGAGGATGACCAGCAGCATCGCCGCC